GAATCGAACCGAGGGCCTCATGCGAGCACTCTACCACTGAGCCACCTCTCCAGCCCCTTCTTAGTGTATTTTTAACATGACTCCAACTCCCCATCAAACCAGCACCCTCCTGACTGGGCAAGCATGTCGGGGGCCTCACGCTTTACTTGTTTTGCTTTTCCTTCCCTCTGACAGCACCCTGGCCTCAAGGATCTAGTGGAAGAGCTGCCTTTCTACCACCGAATGGCTCCTCTCCCAAACTGCATCCCAAGTGTAAGCACGTTCAAAGCATGAGATTAACATCAAAAATCGTGTGTGCGTGAGGGAGGAGATGGTGAGGGAGGCTCCTGTCCAGTTGAGGGGGTGTGTACGGGAGGGTATGGGGGGGGAGGAGACGGTGAGGGGGGCTGGGTATCGAGGCCCCTGTCCAGGTTGGGGGAGGGGTTGGGAGGGGGTATGTGCGTGTGGGAGGAGACGGTGAGGGGGGCTAAGTGTGCAGGCCCCTGTCCAGGTGAGGGGGTGTGTACGGGAGGGTGTGTGTTGTCAGGTGAGGGGGGGTGTGGAGGGGGTGTGTGCGTGTGGGAGATGGTGAGGATTGGGGGCCCAGTCGGGGATCCAAACGCTCTTCGCAAAGACTCTTGAAGTCACCATCTCATGTTAGGGTTACTGACTGGCTTGCTATGGACCAGCACCACAGATCTTCACCCTAGATGATCTTCATTCTAAGCTTTGCTGATGGAGTACAACTAAGTTAGTTACCTCTTGTATTTGTCAATTTTGTGCAAAGTGAACAAAGTGTGTGACTGAATTCAGAAAAGAAATGCATGGTTGAGGAGTGTGGTGCATGGGAGCTAGTCCCAGGAGGTGCCCTGGATATGGGAAAAGGGGCCCTAGAAATGCTGAGCAGAGAGAGGGGGGGGGAGCGTTAGTCTGGTTGGTGGACTCGGAAGCCCAAAGTCCTATCACACCCACGGTAAAGCAGGCAACACACAGCAGGAAGGAGTTCGTATTACCTGTGACAGAGTCCAACAGAGGCCAGTCTTGCCCCTCTAGGCCGTTCTACTAGCTCAGCCAGGCAGATCATGCCCCGCCCTTCCCGCACACTCCGGCTCCCCCAAGACTTACAGTGAGCTGCTCACCAAAGGAGCTTCTCAGCTGGCTCTCCTGCTGTCAGTCAGATGGCTGCTGTGCTCACAGCAAAGTGCTACACAACCCTTCAACAGCACAGGACAGCCTGGCCAATGTCTTTTTTTTTATCCTTTTCCTCTTTTCCATCTTTAAGTAGTTGCCAGTCAACAAGTTAAGAACACAGCAGATCTTGACCAATGTCACTCCTTGCACCGTTCTTCCTCACCCTTCCCATGACAAAGGCCTCCCTTATTTTTCTTAATCTTGTAGGATATATGCTGAATTGTATGACTGCAATCTACCCACTTCCTCTCTCCATTCATCCACCCTCGCCCTTTAATCCTGGCCCCCTTTCAAATGCTGTGTCTTGTACTGCGTTGGACTGTAAGTGAACCTTTCTAAGGAATTACACAATTTGAGTTTTCCTCTGAATAAACAAGCAGACCCTAGGAAAAACTACTTGAAGGAAAGCTGAGACGCGTAAGCAATGATTTAGGAGGGACATAATTCAAATTAAGAAAAAGAAGAAAGAGACATTGAAGGTAAGAGCCATAAGACAGCACTCAAGCACGAAAAGGAAGAGACCACGTGCCCTCCGTGAGGTCCCACAGGCACCGTGGCTCCCACACACTCTGCACACAAGCTGTTGTCAGTCTGAAAAAAAATTAGTTTGTTGGCTGTGGGGCTTGAACTCAGAACCTGGGCACTGTCCTTGAGCCTCTGTGCTCAAGACTAGCATTGGGCCACTTGAGCCACAGCGCCACCTCTAGCTTTTTATGGTAATTACAGATAAGAGTCTCACAGGGACTTTTTTTTTGGGGGGGTGGGGATCCAGTCGTGGGGCCTGAACTCTGGGCCTGGGCGCTGTCCCTTCAGCTCTTCAGCTCAAGGCTAGCGCTCTACCACTTGAGTCATAGCGCCACTTCCGGCTTTTTTCTTTTTGCTTATGTGGTGCTGGGGAATCGAACCCAGGGCCTCAGGCATGCAAGGCGAGCGCTCTACCACTGAGCCACCTTCCCAGCCCTCACAGGGACTTCTCTGCCTGGGCTGGCTTCAAACCTCGATCCTTAGATTTCAACCTCCTGAGTAGGTAGCAGGCATAAGCCACCAGAACCAACAGAAATGTGTTTAAAGTATAAAATATGCACTGAACTTGGTATGACAAATGTATTAGTGCTTTTAGTGTTAAAAACGTAATTTTTGATATGGTAGATTTCATCTATTATCCTATTTCACTCACGAATTAAAAACAGCACTACTCAACAATGCTGGCCTAGAATATAAGGTTACTAAGAAAATTAGCAGAGCATCAGCTGTTACACAGGTAACCCTAGCTACCTAGGAAGTTAAGATCTGAGTATCCTGGTTCAAAGGTAGCCTGGGAAAAAGTTCTTGAGACTCTTCTTTCTAATAACAACCAGTAAAATGCCGTACTAGAGGTGCGCCTTATGGTAGAGTGTCAGCATAAGAGAAGAAGCTGGGAGAAGGCCAGAGAGACTGGGCCCATGCCCCAGTACGCACACCAAAAAGAAAAAACAAAACAACCTGCCAGAATATAGAGCAAAACACATGGGAAACCAGGAGCAGAACAAACAAACAATAGTCAAGAACAGAGAAAAGAAAATGCTCAAAGCAATAAAGTTTAGAGAATTGTAAGATTGTAAATGAGGGCTGGGAAGGTGGCTCAGTGGTAGAGTGCTTGCCTTGCATGCCTGAGGCCCTGGGTTCGATTCCTCAGCACCACATAAGCAGAAAAAAAAAGCCGAAGTGGTGCTGTGGCTCAAGTGGTAGAGCGCTAGCCTTGAGCTGAAGAGCTGAGGGACAGCGCCCAGGCCCAGAGTTCAGGCCCCACGACCAGACCCCCCCACCAAAAAAAAAAAAGATTGTAAATGAGTCTTTAAATGGAAAGGGTCCCAAACATTGGGCTATGTAAATAGAAACATGCCTGGCTACATCTGCCTCGGAGGAGGCCAACAATGGTTAAGTACGACACTGGCATGCATTTACACAGTTTGTAAAGGGAGCCACAGGGCTTTAAAAGCACTGCTCAGACACACAGAACCAAAGATTCACTGACATCACAGGAGAACATCAGCTGCAAGACGGAGGCAGAGCAGGGCACGTGCAGAACAGCTGTGCTTCTCCACCAAGTGAGGCCACAGGTTCTGTTTGAAAAAGAAGCCATCTGGCCGGGCGCTGGTGGCTCACGCCTGTCATCCTAGCTACTCAGGAGGCTGAGATCTGAGGACTGCGGTTCAAAGCCAGCCCGGGCAGAAGAGACCGTGAGACTCCTATCTCCAATAAACCACCAGAAAACCGGAAATGGCGCTGTAGCTCAAGTGGTAGAGCGCTCGCCTTGAGCTGAAGAGCTGAGGGACAGTGCCCAGGCCCAGAGTTCAAGCCCCACGGCCGACCAAAAAAAAAAAAAAAAAAAAAACTCCATCTGTACAATGGTCCAGGCTCACAATGGTGACAACCCTCTCCCTCAAAAACAAACAAGAGCATGGCCACCTCTAAAAGCCTTCCCTTTGGGATGCCAGGACACACGTCTCCATAATCGTGTCCCGGGTCCTGTCTCCTGGCATCCCAATTCAGCTCTCCACTGGAGCCGAATTGGTTTGTTGATACTGTTTTTGTTCTTTCTTTTCTGGCCTGTTTCCCAACGGTGTTGTACTTGGAGGCTGCAAACCTCTGTTACAATGGGCAGCCTGCAGACTGCTAGTGTTGTAATAAAGACTCCAATACACCACCCTCAAAAAAAAACCTTCACTTTGTTTAGAAGAGGGATACCTGGTTTAACTATCTTATTTTCAGTTACGGAAAGTACCTGAATTTGAAAAGCAGTATTGCAAAATACTTCATAATGCAGACAGATAATTTTTAAAAAGTTACCCTTAAATGCAGCTATCTGTAGACTATTGATGTAAATGATGTTGCCAACTCAGTTCAAACAGCATCTAGTCATAAGGCAAGATATTTGTCTTTTACCATACAATCATCTTACGACGGCCAACACAATGTCAACGTTCCAGCTGGGTTGGCTATGTAAAATAGTTAGATTTTATGATTAACTATTATAAAGTAAGACTTGTTGTTAAGTGTGCTTAACATGTTCAGTTGTAACAAGTTATCGTTTTAACCGAGAAGCAGATGGAAGATTTTGTAACACCTCATGTGGAGCATTCACAAGTCACTCCTCGTTGCTTGTGATGCGCAAACTCACGTCAAAGCTCTGAAAAGACACCAACTACTTCCAGTAGGAGGGTGCTCACAGCTTTGTCTTCCGCAGTAGGAGAAAAAGAGTGAAAACAGTGAGGTACCTTCTTTGGATTTCCAACTCTTCTTGGGATGGGCCATTTTGAACTTGAGCAGGCAGTTGTGAATTTTGTCTAGGCAATGTTGGCCCTATAAAGGAGGAAAACATTACAGGTGAACATACGTCCTATTAGTTATCAAGAAGTAAAATCATGAGGGCAACATAAAACCATCACATATTTACAAATGTATCTTCTTTGTCTAGCAAAATAAATTGTAAGCTTTACATAACACACAGCAAATGAAAGACTGCAACGTAATACTGTCATCATCTCCAGAAGGCTTGAGACAGATGAAAACATCAACGACAAAGGAAAATAAGCACTTCTATATGAAGAGCTTGAGTAAAACAAGTGTTCAATGAGCATCCAGTAGGCACCCGAGCTGGACATTTGCTAAGACAATGAGACATTCTCTTTGGGTAACTCATGAAGTGGAGAGGGGAAACTTAAATGAAAATTCAGAATTTAAAAACTCACCTAAATAGAACACTGGAAATGAAAAACAGGAGAGAGAGAGCATGAGAACCTTATTACTAGACCACAGAGGTATGCTAATGCATTTATCAAATTTGCCCAACTTAAGCTGCCACTCTGCTTAATAGCCTGGCATTTCCAATACTGGTGAAAGAAACATTTGCTTAACTTCCATATAATAAATTAACCTACATCTAATTTCAAATATCAAATTCATAAAATGTAACAGAGGTAATCTTAATGACTTTTCATTTGGGAAAGAAAGAAAAAAACCGGCATTCATACCAACATGGTACTGTCACAAGAAACTAACAACCATCCATTCCTGCATACCATATACATAATGCAGACTCATTTCAACAACCTAGACAGAATGCTACTAAATCATGGGGTAATGTAACAGAGGTAATCTTAATGACTTTTCATTTGGGAAAGAAAGAAAAAAACCGGCATTCATACCAACATGGTACTGTCACAAGAAACTAACAACCATCCATTCCTGCATACCATATACATAATGCAGACTCATTTCAACAACCTAGACAGAATGCTACTAAATTATGGGGAACCTTAACAGAACTGGATATAGAAATTAAGTGAGATCATTGCTGGACCTAATATATTATGCCTAAGGATATTCTAGAACAATCTTGAAACAGCAAACGAGAGAGTAAAGAGACAGTTCTGGCCCACTTATGGGAATAGGTGAGGAGTGGTATACTATATATACTTCTGAATTCTAGTCTTCCTGACCAGTTCTGAAAGATTATGGTAGAGCACCAGTATAAAAATCTTTAAATGCTTCTATACATAATGCAGACTCTTACACTCTATGAGCCATAATGCACTACTGGAAGTTAGCTCCATCAGGGTAAAATATTGTACTGGTATATTACAGATACAGAGAAACAGAAATAATTTGATCTCAACTTACCTAGTAGCTTTATCCTCACCTCTTTATAAACGTTTTTAGACTAATCACTTAATTTATTCTCTAGGGACAAATTAGACAAGTGCAGTGATATATTTCATAAACTCTCCTAAAAGGCTGTTATTTTAATAGCCAAATAAAGGAAACATCAAAAATCATTAGCAATCAAAAACTTAAAAAGCTTTTTATAATCAAGATTAAAAATACACATAAATACTTGCAAAAATAAACAAATAACTTTTTTCTAGTAAGCAGACTAGAATGCTTTCCTTGGCAACTAACATGATGATTTTTAAAAAAAACTGTCACATTTTGTGACCTACTAATGCTTAATGTTTTACAGGAGTTAAGTCCCCTCTCCTGGAAGAAGCGGGGGCTATTACACAAAGTGGGAGCGGAGGTTTGAGGAAAAGTAAAATGGATGGGGACAGGTGTACTTTATCCAAAACTAGTAAATGCAAAAGCATTTGGCATGGTCCAATTAGTATGGCTTAATTACCTTTAAAAATAAGGTTTGAGAATTTAAGTGAAAACTTCAGGCTACACAAATATTAGAACAAGACTTGTTTGACAGATCTAAAACAGGGATTCTATCAACAGTAATTGAAATTTTAAGTTTTATCTCAAATATAAATATTCAAGAAAAAAGATGTCAAAATTCCAACCCAATACTGTTAAACAGGTTAAAAAAGTAACAAGTCTGATATAACTCATGAACAGAGTTAAGAAAAAAAGGTTTATACCAATCTACAGAACAGTTCTCAACTCTTTCTATTGTTTTCTGTGGTTGTAGCACACATGTAATGAAATTTACTACTTTTCCCCTTGTTTTGGTGGTGCTGGGGAATGAACTCAGCACCACCACACAGACTGGTGCTCTACCGCTTAAGCCTCGCCTCCAGCCCCTCTGTTTAAGCTTTTTAAAAGCTTTCTTGACAAATCCGTTGAAGAAGGGTACCTAAGTAAAGAGGAACATTTTTGATCCAAGAACTCTTGACTTTTATTCATTACCTGCTACACAGTTCTCCATGATAAAGGCCAGATACTCTTCCTGCAGGGAAGAGGGAGGGAACCGGCCTTTGCCTTTTCCCTCATTTATATTTAATCTGGCTGTTTTGTTTGCCTTTTCTTCATCAATATCATCAAATTGTAAAAACTAGAACACTGGAAATTTACATGCATTTAAAAATGCTTATAAACAGCATGACATATTAAATACAAGTTCTGGATAAATGTGAAGCCGAGGCACATAACTACATTTTGCCTTGTGGTCAAACATTCTAATGGGTTTTAAAATCAATGAACAATACCAAGGCAGTACCCATCTAACAGTGAGAAGCCACAGCCAAGGCTGTGAGCTATCACTGTCCTTTCTGGGATGTGACATTTCTTCACAAGGTCTAACTCCTACTTCATAAAATACAGAACAGGCGGTGACAAGCATCACATGGGGACTAACACAAGGGCAAGCTCACGAGCTACAGCACAGCAACAGCAGCTCTTTCAGGGTCACTCTCCTCTTCTAGTACCAGGGACAATGTTTGACCTTAATGTGTCCTGGCTACAGGATACACAGCTTGTGACCTGCTTGTTTCTAATGAAAAAATGTGGCAGTGTCACTGACACAATAGCCCACAAATGATAGGAGCTGTATGGAATTGGCTCACGCCTGAAATCCTGGCTACTCAGAAGGCTGAGATCCAGGGAATCGCGCCAGGGCAGAAAGTCTGAAAGATTCCATCTCCAAAAATAACGAGCAAAAAGCTGGACTGGAGGTAGGGCTCAAGTGGTAGAGCACCAGATAAGCAAGCCAAGAGTGAGGCTCAAGCTTAAATCACTGTCAAAAATAAAAGTAAAAATAAATCCAATAGAAATCTCCCTGTGAAACATGAATAGCACTATCATCTTGCCTTCAATATTCAGTTTTGGTTAAAGTACTTACTGTTCCTATTTTAATTTTCACAAGTCTAGTTTCACACATAGCCACAGACTATTTAAAAGCACAGGACTAAAAGACAAATAGATACTATTATTCACAATAGGATTCATTTAAACTTAGCAAAGTTGTAATTATGCTGTTTGCTCACAGATAAAGGTAGTAACAGAGGAAATCTGCTTTCTAACCTATTATTTTACAAACTTAATATTCACCTGTATTAATAGGCCAAATCCATGTTTTTGCTACAGTTAGGTAAACTATTCTGCATGGGAACCTAAGATTTTAAGACGAAAGTTAAATAGGTGTTCAAAAATGAAATCAACTGATCCTTAGTAATAAAAATATCAATGATTTCTCATGGCTAGCTCAAAGAATGGTCTAGAAGAACCTCCAGGAGGAGGCAGGAAATCAGAAATAAGGTTACTAATTGAACACTTAAGTCTGTACTGCTTCTAATGGAATCTGAAAGGGAGAGGAGAGAGCTGTAAAATGTCCACACAATAGGCTCAATACTGAAACAAATATAAAATATAATTATAGTCAGGAAATATATTAGAAGCCAGGCACTGAAGCTCACACCTATAATCCTAGCTGCTCAGGAGGCAGAGAGCTGAGGATCAAGGTTTGAAGCCAGCTAGGGCAGACAAATCTGGCTGGAAGTAGAGGTGTGGCTTAGGTTGTCTAGTGCCAGCCTGGATCCAAAAAGCGAAGCAAAACCACAAAGCCTGAGTTCAAGCCCCAGTACTCACACCCACACGCAGCACACACACTTTTGTTTTCAATTTATATACGTTTCTATGCCTAAACCAGCAAATACATAAACTTTAAAATGATTCTCTTTAAGGAAATAATACCAGTAATACTGAGGAACCACATTAAAAGTTTGAGTCCCATGTATAAAGCACAGACACACAGACTGTGTTGGTACAAAATTCTTGCAGTGTATCATTATATAGCTTTCTTTCATAAAATAATCTGGATAGTCAAGATATACATGAGTCAAAATAAGTTACATAAATTTAAAGAAAGCTCAAATATAATTAATTCACCTTTTGGAACTTGGGCTTTTAAAATGTAAAGTTTCAGAATCAAATGGAAATAAAAGGACTTCAAACAAAGATATACATCTCTCTACCTATCTATCCCAATATGCAAGGATAGGGATGTGAACACACCTGATTAGCTCTCATCTGGGTAAGTGACAAACCTCACTTGTCCATGCAAACAATACGTGTGTGTGCACACATGTATGTATGAGCAAGCATGACAAAAATATTCTATAAGCCTAAATTTACTCCTAAGCCACAGGCATCTAACATATAAAACATAAAAAGAAAAAAGTTTAAAAAAAAGCGTGTTGAGCAGAAGCCTTTTTATTAAAGCAGTATTTACATCTGCCTCTTACAACATGCACCTAAAATTAATTCAAGTTAAGCAAAAGCTCCCTTCAAATAAGACATTTACATTCCTCAAATATTAAAATGCACACAAACATTTCCTTAAATTCTCAGTCAAAAGTCTGCTTTCAAACAAAATAGTTAAAAACAAAAATGAACAAAAATCCCTCTCCTTTGTATTGGAAGAGGTAGGTGTTAAGATTAAGAGGTGGAGGTGTTAAGATCCCAGTTCTAACTAAATCCCAGCAAGCCAATTCAAGAGCTGGCCCAAATCACCTACACAAACCACAACGAGTATCACAACATTAATACAATAGCTTGCTATATATCCCAAAAACCACAAACCA